GATTTTACAATGATGTGTGTTTTTTTAATTTAAAATTTTTTTTTTAATGTTTGTGTCTGTTGTCACCTTTTACTTTTTAGTACAGTAAAATGCTTGGATTTTCTTTGGGCACTTTTGGGGTCAAAAGTAAAAATGTTCAAGAAGTTTTCAAAAGCACCTTGAAAAACAAAAGAAAAATTAAGGAAATACGGGAATTACTACGGAAAATCGGTTTTCCAAAAAATTTTGGTTTTTGGTGGAACTTTAAAACAGATGAACCTTAAATACATGCAATTTTCACTGGTTGTTTATATTTGCATTTTCTGTACACGGTAATATTTTCAAAATATTTTGATTTGTTTTGAACTGCTTAGGAACATTTTCAGTTTCCAATTATATTAGTCTTTTTTTCTATGGATGTCAACAAAACATTATTTGTTGGGTAAAAAAGTTTGAAAATTTAAGACAAAGCACTTTCGACAAAATTTAATAATTGTTTTGTAGTTAAAAATGTGTAAAATGTTCAACTTTTATAGCAGAGGATTTATAATTTAATACAAGGTTCCACGGAAATACTAAATATATTATATTATATACCTAAATTACTTTATTCACAATAATATCATCAATTAATATACTTAGTAATATCATAGGCTGACTGACCGTCTTCGCTCCGAATTGTTTTTCTTATACCAGGATATAATATCATTGAATTCAAATTTGACACCATCCATTACAGTGACCCACTTGTAACCTACTGTACAGCAGAGCGACACACACTTGCCCACCTTTTTTATGATAAAATTAAATATTTGGTATTCAGCCTACATTTTTGATTATATTTTATTTGTTCTTCTTGCTGTAAATGTAGGTAATGAATTTACGATTTTATGAATTAAATGTGCAAAGGACGTACGCCACCTGTCGTAGTACGATAATAATTACAGTACTCAAATGGTTCACAGATATTGTACACTATGTACAAACTCAGGCGTAGTACACGTGATAAAAATGTTTACAAATATATAACATTATAACGATCTAAAAATGTTATAGTATTACAATTATATGTATTGATTTAGTTTACTTGGTCAATTGTTTTTAATTTTTAGTATTGTTTTGAACATGCTCGTACACCACAGACTTCTATACTACACTAGATAAGGAACTCTTATACAATGTACATTGTTACAAGTGAAGCTCAGCTGTGAACGGCCGCCATTTTCTCGGTTGGCAAAACATTTCATTTATTATACAAAATGTATTAGGAATAATATTTTTTTTAACGGTCAAATAAAATAGTAAATGTAAAATGACTTATATAAAATATTTTTTTTTTTTTGTAAACTTAATGTTTAAAAATAATAAAATACGATATAAAATAAATCATAATATCATCTTATTTGTCATATGAAATACCATACAATTGCCAACCGACCTTGAAGCTTCAATTCATGACCGGAGTTCGCTATCTAGTAATATATAGAAATCTGTGTCGTACACCCATCATCTGTATTATCAATAATTATCATACGTAATTAAAATTGTATTATGTTTAACAAAATTTTATTTTTTCAGGTTCGTTGCATCACCGTAGTACACCTTTTCCCTGTTCCTGTAATCACCATTTGCAGTATTCTAGGATCATTCAGCATAATATTCGTACAAATGAGGTAATAAGATACCAAATTAAAGTCAAGTTTAAAGATCATTAAAATAAAATCGTGACATCTCTTAATTACTTTTATATCGATTCTATGTATTTGTTTCGAACAAAATATATGATATTTGATAGAAGTAAGTAGAAACTAAAAATAAAAACCATAACACACTATACTAGATAATTTTCTACTACAAAGAAAATCTATGAATCTATAATATATAATATACTTTTGTAGCGATGACAAAGAAAACCATAGTTAAAATATTCGGTGGGAAACAAAAAAGCGTGTAGCCCTATTGCCCTAAACAATATTTTCACACATATACGCTTAGTGAGGGTTTTTATTTATGTTAAAGCTTAATAATTATATTAAATTATAATATTGTGTTACGAGGCGTAACGTATAGGCAATTTAGGTACACCACTCCAAACTACTTGTAGTGCAGTATATAAAACAAGTAAAATTTTATCGACCGTTAATTTTCAAGATAATTTTTTTTAGAATCATTCCTTGAAGTTAAAGTGACATAAATATTATATTGAGGAAGTACCCCATCAATAATTCACTCGGCTCTAAAATAAGTGTCATGTACTTGAAAGTTGAATAGTGCATAGAAATGAATGAGTTAAATTGAAACGAATGATTAATTATTGTGGTATAATTTTGAATGGAATAAGCTTCAAATTTGTCTAAGTATTTTGAAAATCTTACCGTGTATAGAAAAAAAACTAGTCAACTAATAATTAATCATTATCTTTCAAGTTTCATAGATAAATATAATTTTTGAAAACAAAAAACTACGATTTCGATGCGGCATCTAGCTTCACTATACCGGTCTGGACGTAGGTCGGCGTCTGACACGGCCGTGCTGTTCCACTGTTTGATGCTGCAAGGAAACCGAAGCTTTACACACCTTTTTTGGAATTTGTTTTATGACAATTCTGTTGAACACACATAGTTAAATTCTTATATCTTAGAATTGATAAACTTGTATAGATTTATGATTTTGGAATTATATAATATTACTTATAAAGTTATAAGTTATAAGTTTATAACTAACTTTAAAACTATAATATTATACTTACTACAATATAGATAAAATATCGGAACTGAAAAAAAAACCAAAATCTCCTCTACATCAAAATAAATTGTTCGGTTTTAGTTTCGGTTCCTAAAAAAACGTATTTCAGGGTTCCGGTCAGAAATATCTATATTTATTATTTCCGTGCTTATTTATCGTTAACTTGATTTTTATTAAATATTAATATTTTTACTATTTATGTACTAAATAATAATGTTTTATTAAATTAATTCCCAACGTGGTGAGTACTTAAGTGTATAATTTAACTCTAAAGTATCAATGTTAGTAATCAATTATAAAAAACCCTAACTTACCTTATTGTACTAAAATCTGATTAATAAACAAAACAACCAAACACTTGGATGTATAGATAATGACAAACAAATAAAGTAAAAATAAACCAAAATCAATGTAATTATTATTATCTATATATATAAAAATGGAGACAAAAAATTCGAAATTGCATCAGTTGAGAACGGCTGGGCCGATTTTGCTCAAATTTTTTTTAAGATGTTCGTAATTGTCAGGTGAAGGTTTTTACGAAAAAAAATTTTTAAAAAGTCAACCGAATAATTAGAAAAACTGCAAAAACTATTTATTGATGTCTGGGATTTGAACTCGATACCGTTGTCTTTATTTACTCTATGCCAGTCTATGGTGTATTATATTATATTGGTTGCTGTTAATCGGGCATGTTTGTTGATTTGTATTATTATTTTTTGTAAATATACCTCAGATATAAATGAATGACCTATGGGAAGAAGATACGCTAATTTAAAAAGGGTTAAATTTGGTTTTTTTTATTCATCGGATTTTAGTACGGTTAGGTTAGGTTAAGATTTATAGGTAGGTGGAATTAAGTAAAAACGTCAAACTTGGTATAACTTTGGTACTTTTTGAGTTAAACCATACACTTACGTACAAACAGCACGGGGTCCGCGATCTACAGCAGGTAAATTACCTATCTGATAATGTACTGCTGCAATTCAGAATTTTTATTCCGGGCAACAGAAAAGTTAAGATAAATCTAGAACATCATACACCGAATATTAAATGACGCATTGAACAATGTTTGAGTCATAAGCTGGTTACACACGGAGCGGTTTGGCCGCGCGCGGTCGCGGTTTTTATCCGCGGCGGATAACCGCTGACAATTAAACACGGGTTATTCAATTGGCATATTCATACGGGAAAAACCGCGCCACTGTACGGCGCGGTCAACCGCCTGCGACCGCTCTTGTTTAATTTTCGAGCGGTCGACCGCTACCGCTCACTAAAATTAAACAATGTTTTTCCAATAGACCTGTTCAGACGGGCGGTTTGGCCGCCGCGGTTCGCTGGCGCCGGGTCTTGTAAAAAATATTTAAAAAATCATGATTGAAGTGTGAACTTGGTAAATTCATTGCTTCAATGTTACATTTTTATTTACAAGTGGAAATTTTATAAATAGTTAAAAATTATTCGATATTGATCGAGTGTAATATAGTACTACCTATATGTATTGTAGCCCCCAAGATTACGACCAGTTGTCGTGTGTGTATACGAGATACAGTGATGGGCGAGGGGGAGACATGGTGGGACCGAAAGAGTGCCGAGTGTCAACAAGTCGAGGCGAGTAGAGGACAGGTTGAAACAAGTGCTAAATTAATAATGTTGCGCCCTGACAACGGAAACTCTTGCAATGTCTGAGAACAGTGTACTACCGTCTACCGATATTCATAGGTCACATATAGTAGTTTTTTTACAGTCGTACCTATTTAGTATTCAGTTTTAAAATGATCGATACTGAACAATTTATAATTGAAATTCAACAAAATGATTGTATCTGGAACAAACGTAAGTATTGCATTGAACATTTATATTTTATTTATTAATTTATATAATATTTCAACTTGCAAGTTATAAGTATTATAACTAACGACAACTAAAATATCTAAGACGATAAATCTAATTTAATTAATATTAGAGTAGAAGTTATTATATTATAAAAATTATATATTATAATTTATAATGTATTTAGAGGAAAGAAGTCATCATGATAGTCAGGCGATTCATGTGGGATGGACAAGTGTAGCAAATGCTTGCGTTCACAAATTTAATGAACTGGACGATAAACAAAAATCGGAAAAAAGTAAAATTTAGATTAATATAATTATTATTCAACAAACTAGGTTTAGTTTAACAAATAAAATACACGGTTTTATATAAACAATAAAAAAAAGATCACCTAGCTGTAGTCCTATAGGCGACCACTTATAATGTTAAAATGTCCGATATTATTCACCAATAATTTTGTTCTGCCAGCTAAGTGCATGATTTGGATCATTCACATATGTCACGAAATATTCCCTAATATCTTTTGCGTTGGTCTGTGAATTTCCAACACCTCTTCTCTCCGTTATACTTTCCATAAGATTGCTTTGAGTGTCTTCAAAAATACCTTCACCGTCTCCTCCGTCTCGGCGTCGAACAAAATTATGTAAGACGCAGCAGGCTTTTGTTATTTTTACTGCAACATTTGGGTCAACTAACATGCTCGTTTGAAACACTCGCCATTTTTTAGACAAAATCCCAAACGAACATTCTATGTATTGACGGGCCCTCGATAGACGATAGTTGAAAATCCTCCTGTTGTTGTTCAATGTTCTGCCTGGAAACGGTCGTAACAAATGTTTGTGGAGAGCAAAAGCTTCATCGGCAACTAAAATAAACGGCTGTGGCACACCATTATCATCACCTGGTAAGCATTGATCTGGTGGAAAATTTACACTACCCGAGTACAACTTTTTACCGAATGTTGAAGTTTTGAATACGTTACAGTCGCTTTCTTTCCCATAGGACCCAACATCGATGATTCGAAAACAATAATTTGAATCACAAATGGCCATAAGAATTAGGGAAAAAAAGTTTTTGTAGTTATAATACAATGAGCCACTGTTGTTGGGACACTCGAGCCTTATGTGTTTTCCATCCACCTATAATTATATTATACAGTTTATTATAGGATATGTGATAATGTGAAATTAACTGGTAAAAATGTACGTACATTTACGTACAAATTGTTAAAATCATAAAGTTATAATACCTACATTTTGTAAGCACTTATCTATGATTAATAATCTGTGATTATTCGTTTTTTTTAAATCAATGAAATGAGTAGGTATACAAATAAATAAACATACCGCTCCAACAGTATTTGGAAAGTTCGTTTTTTCGTAAAAACCTTTCGATATATCCAGCCAGTCATTTGTTGTTGGTTCCGCCATTTCTAAAGGTTGTAACACTTTCCATAAAACATCGCAAGTTTCTTGGACTATCTTTGCTATAGTAGATACTCCTGCTAAAAACTCAAAGTGTAACGCCGTGTAATGTGTTCCTGTTGCCAAGTATCTGAACAAATATTTAAAAATACTATTGATTAAGAACACTATACCCTAGTTATTAATTTACTAAATAAACAATTCCATAAATTAATTTTAATTTTACTCAAATCAATAAATCTAATTTTTATATTTAATGTATGCAAAGGTGTTGATTATGACACAGTTGAACATTGTTGCAATGTTGAAAAAAATTTCGAGTAACTGAAATATATTATTTTAACAAATAAAAAGTAAAAGTAAAATATGTAAACAATTATATTTTTTAGTTATTTGATAAAATAAATTAAATTTGTCCTGTATTTAATTAATTTTAATATTTTATCTACTTTGAACATTTAATTTTGGTCATTGCATTGCACATAATTAAATAAATAAATACATAAATAAGTAATATCTCAATTATTTTATTTTTCACTATGCTTAACCATTAATATTATTTTGGATATTGTCTCATTATTTAAATAAGTAATTAAATGTGTTGATTTAAATTAGTAAAAGATCTCAAAATAAAATGGAAAAATATCAAGGACAATTACAGAAAAAAATGTATACATAAATCAGGGCAGGCAGCAAAATCAGACAAACCTTATGTATATGCAAATATTTTAGAGTTCCTTCGACCAACAATGGAAAACAGAAAGTAATGTATTTTTTTTACATAGTTAAATCTTCTAAATAAATTTTAAATATGATTTTAATGTTATTCTAAAGCACTGAGAGTAACGTTGCTGTACAAAACGACAGAGAGTACACCACAGATAATGAAAATGATATATCCGCAGAAGCTAACCACTCGGGTGTATCTGAAGAAGAGCCTCCAGCTGTTCATCGAAAAAAAAAAAAGACTACAGAAAATTCTTTTGAAAACCAATTAATACGTGTATTAAAAGAACGCAAAGTTTCAGACGATCCGGTGACATTATTTCTGATGTCTTTGGCTCCTCAAATCAGAAAAATGACAGAAGACCAGCAAAATCAAGTTTATATTGAAATGATACAAATAGTTCAAAAAGTAAAAACTTCTAAAAATTCTGATCAAATTCAACCACAGTCCATTCCTTCTTCAATTAACAATAGTACTTTTCAACCCTTGCAATATTCATATAATAATAGTGACTCATACCCGACATACCCGTTCAATTTCCACCTACCAACAACTTCATACATTTCAAGTGCCTCACCAACACCTTCTACAAATACAAATATGCCCATAAACTATGAACCTCATAATATAGCTGGGAACAATTCTAACATTCACAGACATCAAGTATATTACCCACATACCCAATCATCTGCTCTTACTCCACAACTACCCGTTACACCAAATGATACTGCAACTGTTAACTCATACTATTCACAAAAAAACTCCCCTCACACTGAATCTTCTACTACATCTGTACCAACAGGTCACTCTGACAATAGTTACTACACTAAAAACTTAACTCCATATAACACAGATAACACTAATTCACAATAAATAACATTTTATTACCTTTTTTTTTTTATATATTTTACTGTTATTAGTTGTTATAACTACTTATAATATTTTATTCATGTATAATTATTATTATTATAATTATCTTATACAAATTTTTATATAATTAATAGGTATAATATTAAATAATGTTTTGGTTATGTTTATTTATTTACAAGATGTAATAATTATGTTTATATGAAACATTTTTTTAAAACTATGCTTAATAAAATATGTACCTACTTAAAAGGAAGGCATGAGTATTAATTTAATTTACAAAATAAAATGTAAGAATTTATTATTATTGCAATATGTACTTGTAGGTGCTTACCTCAAAGTAATTGTCAGCCTTTCTTCTTTTGAAATTGGAATGCGCATATTTGTCAATTGTTTTGATATAAATGGTTCACTTAATGAAATCTAAAAAAGAATAGTAATGAGTAGTTGCATTATAGTTCGAATAAAAATATATTATTAAAAGTATATTATATTATTTACTAAGAGGATGACCCTAATTACTTTTCCTTTTTTATAAATAAAATATTTAGCAACTCACCAATTCGTCAAACGATTGTACAGACATTCGGTAGTACTTGAAAAACTCTTCTGGATGTGCTCGAAGTACCATAAAGTTAACATTGAATTGGCCTTCTTGCGGCCTTTTTAAGTTGAGTGGATGTACCCAATAACGTCTCTTCGATATTTTTTTTTTTTGCTGATGTCGTTTATATAGCGCATGTGCCACAGCTATGGCTTCCACGTCATCCAATAATAGTAGGTCCATTTTTAAAATGCACAAAATACAAAGTTACAAAATGCTACTTAAAACAAGTCTTTACTCAACCACGTGTTTAGAGCAACTGATGACTATGTCGCGCTAAAATCATATTGTTGTAAATATAAAATATTGTAGTATTGTTCAAAAATTGGCGCCAAAAAACTGGTCGAAACCGCTTTTAAAACCGCCCGGGTGTGTAAGCAAGCCGCGGGAGCGGTTTCTTATCACCGCGGTTCATAATCCGAAACCGCGCGCGGCCAAACCGCTCCGTGTGTAGCCAGCTATATAGAGTTGGTACATTTAACGGGAAACGAAGTGCACGGGATCAGCTAGTTCATTATGATTATAATTAAAACCTATAGCAACCATTTATAAAAAAAATATCAAAAGAAAAAAAATGTAAAAACAATGCAAAACATTTGTACACCGAAATATATAGATATAAAAGCCAAAACAATTTTGCAACTATGTCCTTTATGAATTACTAAACCATTTATCCGATTGTAATGAAATTTGGTACAGAGATAGATTAGATCTCGGGGAAGGAGGTACGTTATATTTTATCGCGGAAAAAATGTGGTCCAACCAGGGGGAGTTCTCAAACAAGGGACTTAAACAGGGGTCTGAAGTTCGATAAACGGTTTAGGTGACAAATTTTGTACGTTATTTTTTTTTTTGGAAATTTTAATTTATAAATGCTTGCTATAAGTTTTAATAATAATTATTATTATTAATTTTGTTGTTTTTTTTTTTATTAATCGGATTTTAGTGCAATAAGGTAAGGTTAGGCTTTTGTTTTAATTGATTATAATATAACTTTGATACTTTAAGAAATAAATTATTCACTTACATATTTACGCATCACTTGGGTATTTACCAAAAATTAACTGTGATTTAGCATATATTATGGTGGGATATTTAACCGTGTCCTGTTATTGTATTGATAATATTGTAATATATAGGTATTTAAATTTTATTATTACAACATTATCATTTGCTTTGGAAAACCATTATAACTATGCATAAGCAGCACAATATTGTGTTACGTACGTAGTTATATGTGTTATAAAATATGCGAGTGCTGTCAGAATTATGTAGTTTGTCAACAGCTGGTAACATATAGTGACACCCAAAAAAGAGCTTTCTTATCACCCGATAATGTAAATTTTATTGTATTTTTCATCAAAACAATATCGTATAGGTAATAGGTATACAGTTGTTGATTGAAATTTATTATTAATTGTTAAAATATATTATTATTTAAACTATTTGTTTGTAATTTTTTACTTATCTATTTATTGTTATTGATTGTATACCTTTGATACTTTAGAGTTAAATTATACACGTACGTACGCAGAACTTGGGTATTCATCATAGATAAACATTAACTGCACTAGATAATCAATTACCCTTGAACTTAAAAACTACTTTCTACTGACCCAAGTACATCTAAATAGTAAAAACCCAAATAAAAAAATCACAATTATATTGCTATGTGTTTTAAAATATGCTAGTGTTATAATAATCAATATTACAATTTTTTTTTATATTATATTATTTATAGTCAATTCAATTGCGCTATACATATATTATTATACAAACAATTATTTTTATTTTTTAACTGAAAATATAAAATTTAAAATTTGATTTCAATTAATAAGTACCTATATTGAGTAAATGAGTATATTTCTATAATTATTTACTAATCATATAATTTTAACAATTTTTGTCATACGTAAAAGTAGCATCATTTTTTTTTTCGTCAAGTCTTTTTGTTACACATGGTATATATATTATATAATATTATCACAATAAAAACCCTTAGCACTATAAAGATGTGATATCATGAATAAATGCTAAGTACCTATATTGAATTTAAGTAAACTTATTTTGTTTCAATAATTTATATACTTGACTCAGAATTATTTCTTAAAAGAAACAAAGTGTGATGAACAAAATAATTAAAAGGCGAAGGACTATTAAAATCTAACTTATTATTATTTTAAAAATATTATTATTAATATTTATATACTATATTCTAAATAATTCCTCGCCAAGTAAATAAATTATTAAAACAAAATAAGTTTACCTAAATTCAATATAGGTACTTAGCATTTATTCATAATATCACATCTTTATAGTGCTTAAAAATCTTGTATTTTTTTTACTTAGTCATAAACACATAGTTTATGAAGGGTTTTTGTTGTGATATCACTAATTTTTATCGTTATTAAATATTGAATATTTTAATCTATAAGAACGGTAATATTGTTGGTAATATTGGCAACTCCTTTTCATGAATTTTATAAAAGCACATTCTATACAATATTTCTGATGTTTTCGAGTTTACTAGGAGTTAATTGATGCATTAGAAAATTAGTTATGTCGTATAACAAATTTATCCGTATTTTACACAGTTTACATAGGCAGTTGCCTGCTTCGATATACTATACACCTACGCATACACACGGTATTTAATATTATCAATGCAGATTGCAGGCATATTTGATATTAGTAAGGTAACAATATTATAATTTATAATTTATATGACAATTTACTCTGAAACACTTATAACGTCCAAATTGCTATTATTTTCAGAAATTCTACATCAGCTATTGTGAATTGCGATTTGCGATTCAATAATAATATTGATATCGATTACATGGAAATTAGAATTTGGATTTTCGGTATTTCTTTTATGACAATTCTATTTTACACATAATAATATTCTTATTTCTTAGCATTGATAAATTTTTATAGATCTACGATTTTATAATTATTTATCATTACTAAAAATTAGTTATTACTTACTTAAACCATAGATAAAATATCTAAGGGATTTTGGAACCGAAAAAACCCGTAAAAACCTCTACATCAAAGTATAGGTTTCGGTTCCTAAAAAAATGTATTTAAGGGTTTCGGTCCCAAGATTTTTAAAGGATTTCGGTCAAAAACCGGTCAATTTCGGTACGGTTTCTAGGCCCTGAATTAACAACATAAAAAACAATATAAATATTTAGTGATTTATAGTAATAATATAACAAAAATTAGTACAAAACAACAACAGAATACCTATTAATGTTTAAAAATAATCTAGTTAACGCTAAATAGGTAAGTTAAAAAAATTACAAACAAATAGTTTAAATAATAATATATTTTAACAATTAATAATAAATTTAAATCAACAACTGTATACCTATTACCTATACGATATTGTTTTGATGAAAAATACAATTAAATTCACATTGTCACGTGATAAGAAAGCTCTTTTTCGGGTGTCACTGTGTGTTACCTTCTGTTGACAAATAACATAAACTCGCATATTTTAAAATACATAATATAAGTACGTAAGTAACACAATATTGTGCGGCGTATGCATTATGATGGTTTTCGGGTTTTCCAACGCAAATGATAATGTTGTAATATAACCTAAGTACATACAGGTATGTTACAATATTATCAATAGGATAATATGACACGGTTGGATATTCACTATGCTAAATCACGGTGCAAGGTGCGACTATGAATCGAGTACGGTCGGTTATAAAGGCTGATCTCTTACTCTACGCTTTAAGTTCCGATCCGTTAACGCTTTTGTGCTGTCATACCATCGTCGTCGTTTTTTGAGATAAAACCGAGTTAACTTCGCTATACTGCATTTTTTGTTTACAAAAGTCAAGTGTTGGATCTCTTCCGTCGTCGCCTGATCGACACACAATCTACGACCGGAGCACGTGGATCCCTGACAATCACCAACCAAGACTGTCATCATGAATTTATTGTATGGGTTTTTAATGATTATGATGTTTATCCACCTCAGCGTTCAACAACCTGACTATATTGGTCACTCCTACAGAACGATATTAAAATGTAAGAATGATTGTAATTCAATGTGCCTTAAGAGAAATGGATTGGGTTATGGAGAGTGTAAACGTGTAACTGATCGTTTTTATAGTGTGTGGTTTTGCCACTGTACCTTGCCCGAAGATATTGTACATTCTTCGTCTCCGATATATATTATTTAAACCATTATGTTAAAATTAATTTATTATTTCAATATTTTCGTTTAGTTTGTTTGCTTTAAGTACTTTAACTGTTAAGCTATAATAGTTATGTAATAATATAGACTGATAAAAAAAAAAAAAAAAACATTGTATCTACGTAAAAAAAATACTGGTATTTGTAATCAGAAAAATGTTTGTAGAACTAATTATTATATTGTACAAGTATGTAAGACAATAAATTTATGTATTTTAAAAATTGACTATATTAATATCTTCACATTTTGTTGTTTTTGATACTCTTACATAAAAATTCAAAATAGTAGGTAACAATGGCCCCACACTGTTGTTTTTGTTGTTGTTGTTATTGTTGTTGATTTTCTGTCGTTTGTCCACCCACTAACTTCCGGTTGACTGTCCTGGTCGATCCGATTGTTCTACTCCATAACTGGGGACATAGCACACTGGACGGAAAACTGCTTTGCGCCGATGACCACGGTCAGGGAGCGAAACGGTGACTAATATTAGATCGATAGTAACCACTTAGTGCCGTGGTGGAGGCCTTAATTCAGGTGTATATCGATATAATCATAGAATACTATATTACATTTATTTATATTTTGCTGTAGGTATGTGTGTGTGGTCGGGTATGAGTTCGACTTATCTCTCCGGACTTTATCCCTATATTATGTCATTATATATAATATATATCTATATAGGTAGGTACTAATACTGTAGAGTTTGTTTGTTTGAAGGTGCTAATATCAGGAACTACCTACTGGTTCGAATTGAAAAATTATTTTTTTTGTTGGATAGTCCATTCATGGAGGAAGGCTATAGGCTAGGTTAGGTTAGGGCACACTACTACCAATTAATAGAAGTGCTCAAACAGGGATTTTGAGATTTACGATGGAAATATTTGTTTATAAATGGTTCCTATTTTGGTCAATCGGGCAGATCAGGCACAAGCATGCATCAAATCGAATTTTCGCACATTTTCTACCA